GGAGGGATTTGTTAGATTACTTGAACAGTATACTCTTGATAGAATATTATAGATTTAATAAAAGGGATTTGCTAACCTTATAATTAAATATTAAAGCACCAAAATGACAATATAGAAAATGAAAGGTCATAACCAAATTACGTTTTGATAGTAATTAGATGAATGTAGTGATTTTTAAAAAATTTTGAAATTGTATTAGGAATATATTTATAATTTGTATGGATCTATAAGGTTTAAATGAATGAGAATTTAATAAGGACAGAATTTGACGTGGATGAAAATAATAATTTTTTAAAATTATTTACATGATCTTGAAAAAGTTATTAATAATTTTATTCATTTTAACCCATTTAAACAAGATGAAGAAGCATTAAAAAAAAGCAGGGTTAATTCCAAAAAGGTCACTGAACTTATCAAAAAATTACAAAACGATCACTAAAGTTTAAAACTTTCAATAATGGTCACTGAACTTCCGAGCGATTACACTAATGGTCACTTAAGTTTAAAAACTTTCACAAATGCTCACTGAAGTTACCAAAATGATTCTACTTTAAACTTAATGACCAAAACACGTGACCAAAGAATACTGAGGACCTCATTTGCAAATTTTCGGTCAAAAAACCCCCCAAACCTGGCAATGTTTGATTCCAAAATTTGGTATATCAAAGTTGTAATTTCTGTAATTGAGTGATTACCTAGTGCCTTTTGAACTTGAATGTCAATTTCCCCAAATTGATTTGTGTATCGGGTCACATTGGAGCTTTCCAATTGATGGATGAATTTCATTTTCTCGTGAGCAGAGTTGATGCGGAGAATCCAAAAATTAGCTCAATTTGATGATCAATTGGTGCAATTGATTCATGACCCAGCGTACTACCAACCTGAATTGAAGATATTAAGGGCAAATTTGATGATTGGGACGGTGTAGAAACCTCAGTTGAAGGTGGACAAATCGAGCTGCCTTACGTATAAACTGTGTGACTTGTTCATCCACTTTGCTCCCAAATTGGTGATGACACATGGCTGGAATAGGTGCATCATGAAGAGAGGATGCTAGGATAAGTGGTCCACGATCATGGGAACCACCATCGTCGCCGAAAAACGAGTTTGTTGGCCGCGAGTTCATTGTTTCGAAAAAATGCTCTATATTTCAATTTTCTTGGTTGTTTGTTGTTATATGAACATGGTTAGACACGTTTACATGAGCTTGAGTGATCTGTGGGGTGTGATTAACATGGGCATCGATGGAGTTGGACGAATCTGGAAGAAAGTCAAGGCAGTTTTAGATGATTGGGAAATTCATTTTGGCCGAAAATTTGTACCCGAGGTCCTCAATATTCTTTGGTCACGTGTTTTGGTCCTTAAGTTTGAGGTAGAATCATTTTGGTAACTTCAGTGACCATTTGTTTTAAACTTAAGTGACCATTGGTGTAACCATCCAGAAGTTCAGTGTTTGTTACTGAAGGTTTTAAACTTTAGTGACCGTTTTATAATTTTTTGGTAAGTTCAGTGGCTTTTTCTGAAATTAACTCAAATAAAACATCATCATATCTGAAAGCCTTCTTCCTGTCAGAATGGGGATCGATTTTCGGAAGGCTAAACCCAAGAGAGGGAAAGAATTGAAAATGTCTCTTTCTCAGGTAAAATTTAAAAAGAATTTATGTATATAATATCAAGATTTTGAATTTGCAGGGCGTTTTGAAAACTTTCCAAACCTTCCTGGAATCGATGTTTATTGTGGGAACCTTTAACTCTTCGGATCTATTGCAGCTTGGATTTTTCGAATCATTGCATGCCGGGGTATGTATACATCTCCGGTTCCAAAAAAGGACTGCAATATTCTGGTTTTATTAGAATGAGATCTTGAAATTTTGGATTGAAATAATATCGGTAAATATTGTGAATACTGATTTTTATATTATATCCTGGAATGGGGCAATATGAAATTCTTTAATATCTAATGGGTATATGTTTTAATTGGTTTTGGTAAATTTTTTTAAATTGGTGAAATGAAATTCTTTGATCTAGAGATGAATGGAGAATATGTTTCAGGTTCTTCTTAACCATTTTTTCCCCTGGTAGTTTGACGACATTCTAACATGTTGCGTCGTGGTTGCTAAGGATCTCCAGTTGCTTTAGATCTTTCGGCAGGTCAACATTTATATACTGAGTTAAGGAAAAAAAATAAAAAAAAATAACAGACTGCACTGATATTGTATTATGACTTTTCAATTTTCTGTTTGAAATCCAATTGGAAAATGCTTTTATGGGGCCCGAGATTCAACATTTGTGCTTGTTAAAGGGGGAAAAAACCTGTAGATATCTGATAAATAACCAAATTGCTCAATCATAAGATGAATCTTGCACTATAAGTAGAGAGGAGGTTTTCTGTCAAATTGGATGCTAGGTTCTATGCTCCATGTCGTCCATGACCAACCTCATTTATAAAATGCTCGTGGACAATTTGGAAGTAGGATTGAACTTCTTCCTTATAAAGGTCTTTTTATAGGCTATAACGAATGAGAATTGATAAGTGCTTTGGGAAGAATTTGAAGTTTCTTGATATTTTAGTGATTTGTGGTGTCGTGTCGTGTCTCCAATCAGAATTACTATTATCAATCTGTAATACCAAATAGTCTATTGGTCTTTCTAATGTATAATAAAAAGCATTGAATATGTGACCTCTTGTTCATATATGTCTTACTCCTTTTCTGATTGAAATCTATGCATTGTCAAACAAAGATAAAGAGGTATCTTTTTCAACTAGAAATTCTCAGCCCTTTAAGCACAGGGAGGTGAAAAAGTTTTAATTTGAGTGGGCATCATGCATGTAATACTAAATCCACACTTTCTACCATTATGGGTAATGGGACCATACTCAAGTGATCCCAGTATCAAGTGCACTCTGAAACATGTAGTTTCATTACGTACTCTTACACGTTCTACATTTTCTTGGCTCAGTTAATGCAAAAGAATGGAGTTAAATAATCAATCAAGAGAATGGAATTGTTACATTGTATGTGACATGGTAATCTAAAAAATTTCTATAATGCAACGATTTAGTACATTTAGATACTTGATGTTTGCCTACTAACTTTTGAAGATTTAGCCCCTGTTTGAGCCATATTTTCCATTCTACTAAAATGAAAAATGTGATCGTTGCAACCTCAGCCGGGTCCCACACGTGAAAGAAGAGGTCAACAGTTGCGGCTGGAAATGATTGATAATGCTACAGTTTTTCATTTTTATGGCCAAATAATTTGGCTCAAACAGAGGCTTAATTATTTTTTAAAATTTTAAGTTCGATAAATTAATTTTAACTCTATGGTGATTGAAATTATGAGGTTCTGATAGATTTTTACTACATGTATGTTTTTTTAGAAGTATGTTTATAAATGAATATATGAAGATGCAATGTATTTATTTCTCATTTACTTGAAGCTATTAATTTATTTCTCATATTTTGTTTTTCCCCCCTCTTTTTTATTGCACCTTCCTTTACCTCATGATTTTTTATGGGTTAACTTTGTTCACAAATCTCAGCGTACACTATTTATCTTCTGACCCCATGTCATTCTTTTTTTATTTTTTCTTGGAAATGCATATTATTGTAACTATCGCGTGAATTTGTTTAGTTTTTCTTGAATTATTTTGTGCCTTCCTTCTCTGCATTTTTGCACACAGTGCTCATAGGCATGAACAAGAATTCAAGCCAACTAAGGCTGCCAAAAAATGAATGTTTTTTTCCTCATTTCTTGGTAATTATATATTTCCCTAGTGATAATTATTTCTGGTGATATGTTGTAAATAAAATCAGAATTTAATGTTTAAGGAAATTTGTGCTTGCAGGGGAATGTATAAAATCCTATTTTCTCTTTGATATATGAACCCATGCATTGGAAACCATAAATCATGATTGTCTCATTTTGGAAAACAAATCTCAATTGATGACAGTAACAAAAGACTTAAAATTATGTTTTGGCAGTTCGTTTCAGTAATAAAAACTACCATAATTTTTTCATCAAGTGGGCAAATGAGCACGTTTTCAACATTTTTATCATGTCTTAAAACTTATAAAACCAGGGTTCAAAACGTTTCCCAAACGTGTTTTAAGTCAATTTATATATATATATATA